AATGCATTCTACAATGGCATTCCAATACTTGATAATGCCAGTGACTGGTTTAAGTGGAATCAGAAAGTCAATGAGTTCATTCGGATATCCGCCGTTGCCGACGATGGAACGACTCCACCGATAGAGGAAGAGGAAGCACGGCAATGGACTCATCGCCAAAAGTTCTACTCTGCGATGATCACGGCAAAGCTGACACACAATGCGGCACAAAGGATCAGCGCCTTTGAGATCTCTCGAGTCCACGCACTCTTAAAGGCAGTTAAAGACAACTTCAAACCAGAAGGCACTGGCACATACGTTAACCTCCAGCGACGGTACATGTCCCTCACAAGAGAGAAATGTGGAAGCGCTCAAGCCCTCGGAGCCGAGATCAGGAAGATCCATGCTGAGAAACTTCTCCTTGACCCTGACTGCGTGAGCTCCGAGATTGAGCGAACATTCTTTTTCGTGCACGCATTAGGTCCTGAGTATGAAAGTTTCCGTGATCATATATTTCGGCAAATGGACCTTGTTAACGAAAGAGATGCCAATGGTAACATCACAAAAGCGGCGCCCACGTTCGACTATATCGAGAACAAGGCAATTGAGGAAGAACATAGGAAGGGGCAATTGAGCAAACAACCAACAGAGGCGCAAGGGCTTCCTGCTCTCGCTATAATCCGAGGGCCAGGTGACAAGAAAGTCATACCGTCATCCGACGGAACGACATGTCGAATCGAGATCGATAACGTCCCATATTGCTCTTTCTGCCGGAAACCTTATCACGTGGACTCTGAGTGCTTCAGCAAGAATCCAAGACCGAAGGATCAGAAGAAAGACGGAAAGAGCCACAAGTCAAAGCCAGGCAATTCACATACAGGCGCACGCAAGCCATTGAAGCGGCGGCCCTCCACGGATGACGAAGACGATGATGTCGGTGGCCCAAGGGATCCAAAGAAGCCCACTTTTATGGCCACAAAGGTCTCCGGAGAAGATGTTAATAAAGCATTCGGGAAAGATGTTGAAGGCAACCTCGCCCTGTTTGACCACTTCCCCACAATGATGGCTACAAAAACCCTGTCGATCCGTGACGCGTGGATCGTCGATAGTGGATGTGCTCAGCACGTCTGCAATAACGCCTCGAGATTTGTAAAGATGGACAAGTACCATGGACCACCACTGAGAAGCGTCGATACCTCAACGACTCCCTCGGGAGTGGGGACAGTCAATATTCTTTGCAATGTACGAGGCAGAAGGAAATGGCTTGTGCTTGACAATGTCCTCTACGTCCCATCTGCACATGCAAACCTCATATCGGTGCTCCAGCTTCTCAAACGAGGAGCAAAAGTCGAGTTCTCAAGCCAAAGTGCTAGTATTCGCAACAAGTCAAACGGAAAGAACCTATACACTGCCAGCCAATATCATGGAGTCTACGCACTTGATATATGGACGAATCTCACCTTTCCCTCCTACCATGTCGGTCCACAAATGGCTCTTTGGCATAATCGGCTGGCCCACCTGGGCGATGCGAACCTACATCGGCTTAAGAAGCAGGCCTTCGGCATCCGGGACATGGAACCACGTCAACCATGCAACCCATGCCTCCAGGGACGAATGATTGAAAAGCCCCACAACCGCTCGGGACGAAGCAGACGAGGGGAATATGCAATGGAACTTCTCCATATTGATGTCGCAGGGCCATTTGACGAGGGCCTTGACGGCAGTCGCTATTGGCTCACCGTCGTCGACGACTTCACGGGCTGGATAGAGATTGTCCCTATACCACGACGACAAGAATTTGTCATAGAGTCACTACGTTTCTTCCTCGATCATAACGAACGCCCTGAACGGAAGTGTAGACGAATACGCCTCGACCGGATCCCTGAGCAAGTGGGAGAAGAGATGAAGTTCATACTGTTCTCACGGGCAATCCATGCCGAGGTCACAGGCGTTGATCAACACCAGCAGAATGGGGTTGCCGAGAGAGCCCATAAGACAATTTATGATCGGGTTGGACCCACGCTAGCACATGCGAGGCTGCCACCTAAATTCTGGCCAGAAATTGCTCGAACCGCAGCCTTCCTCTCCAACCGGTCGCCGTCATCAAAGCTCAACATGACTCCGTATCAAGCCTGGTATGGCGACAAGCCGGACCTATCACGACTCAGAGTGATCGGATCCAAAGGGGAATACTTGATCCCACCCAAGCAGAGGAAGAAGCTCACAGAGCCAAGAACCAGGCCATGCATTCTACTAGGCTATGAGGGAAATACCAACTACCGTATCCTGCTACAAGACGGAAGAATTGTTGGGACCCCAAACGCTGAATTTCACGAAGTCCTTACAGCTCCTTCCACACAGACTATAGAAGATGTGGGAGCCAGACGAGACGGCTCACCTGAGGCAACGGCTGCTGCCGCAGGGGGAGTAAGACGGTGGGACTAATAAATCAACCGTCAGTAGGCATACGGCAAGCATCCGTGCCCGCCTCTGGGCGCCAGTTGTCAATGGCACCACCAGAGCGAGCCCTACCTAAGTCGAGGAACGATATCTCGCACATACTGCCTCGGTCGAGTAACGATAACTCACGAGTGCTAACCCAGTCGAGTGACGAGGACTCGCAGACACCAGCGTCGTTTCAATCGAGTGACGATGACTCGCAGCCATTTGTTGCTGTACAGGGAGACAGGACCTTGTCGCCTACACGGAGTGATGATACCTTTGGATCATTTGCAGATGATTTACAAGACATCATCCAGAGGAATGACTCACCACCCGGCGGCGACCAGCAACAAGACGACGCTCAACAAGGTCTAGTTTCAGGAGAATGGCAACGATCTCCAGAACTCCAAATTGACCGCCCAGTTCATGAAGTGCGACAAGAAACACTAGAACACCACCCTGAACTCAAAATTCGCGCTCCGCACGTCACACTAGACACTTTTAGTGACAGCGAAGAAGAGCTTGCGTTAATGAATATACCTGAAGAGAACGTCATCCCAACATTCTTAACAGTAGCTGCAAAGGAAACAGAACCTTTTGAGCCAAAGACTCTGCATCAAGCGAAGAACGATGCAAGCTGGCTCGAATGGGAACGAGCAATGCTTGAAGAAGCGAACTCGCTTAACCAAAACAAGACGTGGGAGCTTGTTGATCCTCCCAAAGATCGGCGGATTCTCAGTGGAAAATGGGTATACAAACTCAAACGAGGACCGCATGGCGAAGTCATCCGCTACAAAAGCAGATGGGTAGTGAGAGGCTTTACACAAGAAGAGGGTATCGACTATGACGAAACTTTTGCCTCTGTTGTCAAGCCAATGAGCTACAAAGCTCTATTCGCAATCGGAGCGGCCCTAGATCTAGAGATCGAGCAAATGGATGTCAAAACGGCTTTCCTGTACGGGTACATAGACCACGAGATCTACGTCGAACAACCTCACCACATGACCGACGGCACATCGAGGGTCTGCAAACTTCGAAAGGCACTCTATGGCCTAAAACAAGCTCCTCGGATCTGGTACCAGACCCTTACAAATTTCCTACGAAATCTCGGCTTTGAGCCAATCAGCGCTGATCTTGGGATCTTCGTCCGGAGCAATATGTACATCGCGGTGTACGTCGATGACCTCCTGATCGTGGGGCCAAGCATTGCGGAAATAAAGAAGATCAAGCGGAGCCTCAGAAACCGTTTTCAAATGACAGATCTAGGACCATGCAGCTACTATCTCGGGATGTCTGTCCAGCGAGACCGTCAAAACAGGATACTATACCTAAGTCAAGAAGCGTATATTGACAAGGTCGCTCACCAGTTTGGAATCAGCAACGGCGCTCCCGTCAGCACACCGATAGAAACCTCACCACTTCCAGAGAATAACCCAGGATACAGCTGTCCTCCAGATCAAAGAATCATATACCAACGCATTGTCGGATCTCTGATGTACATTATGCTCGGGACTAGGGGGGACGTCGCGTATGCCGTCTCTATGGCAAGCAGGCATCTAGCGAATCCTGGGCCACAACACCAGAAACTTGCTCGACGCATCCTACGGTATCTCAACGGCACAAAAAGCCTCAGGCTCACGTACAAGGGTCAGCCCCAGATGCTGAAAGGCTTTACAGACGCAGATTGGGGTGGATGTCGCGACACTAGACGTTCAACAGCTGGATACCTTTTCAATATCGGGAGTGGAGCAATCAGTTGGCAATCGAAGCGCCAAAGCGTCGTTGCCCTCTCGACCTGTGAAGCTGAATTCCTAGGCCAGACACAAGCAACCAAAGAAGCAATCTGGTTGAGAAGACTCCTCAATGAGTTAAACATGAGCCAAGGAAAAACTGCAACGATCATTTGTGGTGACAACCAAGGAGCCATCGCCCTGTCCTCGAACCCGCAATACCATTCCCGCACGAAGCATATGGAAATCCAACGCAAGTGGCAAGGAGAGGTGCAAGACACTGGAACGGTAGAATTGCAGTATGTTCCAACTACCGAACAAATTGCCGATGGGTTCACCAAACCTCTTGCACGACAACGATTTGAATGGTTTCGGAGAGGACTTGGTATTGAGTGATGACCACACCTTACTGGCCTTGAGCAGAGACTGAGCTGCAAGGGTACCCTTTCCTTCTTTTCCCTAAAAAGGGGTTTTTAAAGGTTTTAATGGGGCCCGCCGCAACCGTGATGAATGGTCATTGGCTCCCTTGGTGACGGTTGCCATCGAGTGGGAGTGTTGAATATCACTGCGGCTAAGCTTATGGATGGGATTAGGGTCGGAGATATAAAGACGGGCTACCCCTCTTCTGTAAATAAGTGAATAAGAATCAACCTTACTATCACTTATCTTAACATAAGCTTTCCTCTCAAAAGAAGGTTCCTGGTTTAAAATGACACGGCAGAACCTCAAGAACAGCGTAAAACAGTTTAATCTTGATGAACTAACTACAATGAATATTTCCATGCGATTGAGTATCGATTGAGCATGTTGCCATCCCCGTCCACCGTGCTTCACACAAAGCAAGCTTTACTATTGTGGCGCGTTTGGACTGGCTTCAAAGTTACTGGGGCACTGGATACCTGGCAAAGAGGAAGCTCTAGTGCCAGGGCAGGTCTGTTCACCGCCGAAATCAAAAGCATAGCATACTCCCCATATCCCTAGAAGCTGTCAGTGACTACTTTGTTGTATTAGAGGCAAGACATACCGGCCGCGCTACAACCATCGCCTTCGCACCCCACATCTGTCATAGGGGTAGTGTATTGTCCAGTTGAAGCATTCGAGTCATCCGATGAGCAAAGACTTCCGTCATCCGAGACAGAAACCGTCTGAATTATTAGTTAACGATAATCTCATGCCACAATAGGGCGAACTTACATACGTCTTGACCTGTGAGACAGTGAAATATGGCTGAAAATACAATATACATGCGGCACCACCCGCGCATTGTAAATTGTACCCAGTCGTTGTTACTGTTCTGATGCAAATACTCAGTACGATATCTAGATTTTTTCCTCCTGGCTGAAGCAATAGATAAACATACCCTGAAGCTTCGTTGTATTGAGGAGTGGTCACAAGCTTTTCGACAACATCTCCGAGATAACTTGTAGGCTTCATGCTTGTGTTAAATATTGTACACACAGTAAGATAGGGTGGTTTACTCACATGAAAAACTCCGAGCTGCTCGGCAAAGCCTCTCTGGAAGGACTGAGAAGTGGTTGATGTGATTGTGCCTGGTCCACACTCAACATCACTCATTTGATGCTGATAACCTTTGATGACATAGTACGAGGTGATTTCCTCGGTATTTCTTGTTTTGCAACTTCTGGCCATTAGCTGACCCTTATGCCTGCAAAAATATATGAGAAGAGGCCTAAGAAGTGTAATGCAAGAATCCATTGACCACTCATGGTAGAGCACTTACCGATCCCTTCTTTCCAGTAGTTCGTTGCTTAAAGAATCAATGCCGTCAGGGATACCTACTTCCGTAAATAAGCGTGGCGTTTCGATCTCGACAGTTTGGCTGTTCTGATTCATGGACAAGGCGTCTTCCTTTACATGCAATACACCACAGCTGGCCAGCTTGATGGTCAGTCCACAAAGCAACAGCCAGATGCGAAGGTGTATCATAGTTTAAAATAATATATATAACCAGGGGGTTAACTGAGTAAAGAGTTTAGGCCGCGATCACGAGCTCGGAGGCAAAGCTTCTCTTTTGCACCTGCATAGTTAAATCATACTGTACAAGGAAGAAGCGGTTTATATAGTTTTTTTTTGCATTTATCAGGAGACCTACTCACAGCCTTCTGGCATCGAATTGTAAGCGAATTGCATAATCTACCTGGAATACAAATGAAGTTACACTATGACTGCTGTCCAAGTTCTGGAACTGAGCATTGAAGTGTCTAGAGTGACTCTCTAGCCTGGTAAGATGTCATTTACAAGCAATAGCCAAAGCAGGTAGACTTAATTTCCCTAAATGAGCTGTATTCCATAAGTTACACTTCGGACCCTTAGTGTACTTAGTAAGATTCTCCTACTTACCATATTTCGCCGGGCCCCTCACCAAGCCCCGTGTTACAATGGGGCCCCGCAATGGCTTGCGCCAGCACTGTAACACGCCCCACTATTACGCGTCTTCTCCGCATTACACCAAAGCAGACTCAGAAACTGACGAATTAAGCCCAAGAACTCCCGTAGGTGTAGGACTAGTCCAGTGTTTCCATATTGAGCTCCCGAACAGGGTTTAAAGGAGCACTTTGCCCTTGAAGACATTACTTCCGCAGTAGCTTGCAATTAGCCCAATAGGCTTTTGCCAACTTTTTTCGACTGCGACTCTTTCAAGCTAATATGCTATCTGGCACGACGATGAGTGTGATTGACGCAAGCGAGGACATAGCGGTGGAAGTCTCTGTTGTTTTGCCTTACAGCCTACAATTATATGCAATGTGGGGAAGGTTATTGTACAAGCTAACCTGTAATACAAAACATTCCGATTCTATTACGGTGGCGCTCTACCCGGAGCTTCAGGGAAGTGTATTATTACTATGCAAATAGGCGTGGAGAAAGGAAGGGGTTACGATTGCAGCTTGTAGCGCATCAATGTGCTGGCTAACGCACATGCATGCATCCATGAACTTGTTATATATCTCGGAGCTTTCCTGCGATGTTAGCATGTAAAAGAACCTCTTGCGTCCATCCTACAGTAGCAAGTCAACCTTACTCACAACGACTATGCATTACTCAGTTTTAAGCTTTACTTTATTCTCTGCACTCTTAAGGTCTACTGTACCACTGCCATACACCAGCACAACATGCTGACTTAGTCTTAGAGTGTCTGACGGCAAAAAATTCCAACAGTGGTGTAATGGCTGGAGTGTCAGCAAGACTACAGACTGTTGTAACCAGATGGTACCGTCTGGGGGCTATAAGACAGGTTAGTACGTATCCAATTTTCATCCGTCTGTATTAATAAGACTTCCACAGTGTGGGCATCTCCTGGGGAGACAGACAATGGCTATGCATATTTACTTGTAAGTGTGACCACAACGAGATGATATACCCAGGATATCATGGAAATGAGACTGATTACCTGAAGTGTGTTACGAACTCTGATCACGAGATTAGCGCAGATGCGTGGGCAGATGCTGGATGTGTAAATGATTGCGGCGAGGATTGGTATTATGTTGAATAAGCAATGAACTGTGGTTGCAGTATCGCTGGTGCTTATTGTACGCGCGGGCGACAAATGGGAATATTTTATGAGAGAGTCTGTTTGTTTTTGAAGACTCTGATCGTACTGCACAGGGGGATGATGGTGGTGAACTCATACCCGTGTAACGGCCATACTCGAAAGCGTGTCGGGATAATCCTCGCCAATCTTTATCTTGCTCCTTTCTATTACCAGTATAAAAGGCTGATCGGCCTTCTTCTACCAACTCTGATTCCCATACGTTGATGCAAGATTGTTCATTTTCGTCAGTGTACCGTAAGATGTGAAGAGTAGGCGAACTAATGATCTGTCACAAATATCGTACAGTACAATACCGTATGAAACCGGGTCTATAAGTTACTTAGCAGGCCGAGTTACCAACGAAACAATACCACGTGATCATTATGAATCAAGCCACAGCCAACGAGAAGAGAAAATAAAAATAAGAAAACCCCCAAACCATACCAATCCCTCGCAGTATGGTGATGTTACTGGAAGGGAAAGAGCTCAAAAAATCCGACTCCTCCGCCGAGGCTAATCCGCCAATCCGAGCATGGGTCGCGGCTGACCGAAATGCTCGAGCCTAACCCTACGCAGTCCCAGCCCACGGATGAGCTCGACACGGAGATTAGAGAGGCCCAGGGCTCGCAAATTCGAAGCGGCAGCGACGGCTCCTTGAGATCCAACAACAAGTTGCTGATGAGCAGATAGCGCTTGAGGTGGCTTGGAACCGGCTCGCGGCTACCACCAGCAAAGATTACTCGCCCACTATCGACCCTGTTGCGAAGGACTCGGTCAATGCACAATACAGGGGGCTTGCAGCACCGATGCAAAACGGGGACAGCAAGGCTGGTATTATCCAAGCTCCAAACAATACTCTCCCTGCACCATCTGAGCAAGCTGTCAGCCCCTCTTTCCGTGCGCCCCAGCTGAACCTATCACTTGTTAAAAACGAAAATACAGACTCAAATGGCGCCGCAGACCCGAATTTGGAACGATTACGGGAACTTGCTGCAGCTACTAGATCGGCCTCGTCACCTTCCCAAGCTCCTCCAGTCCCAAACGTGCCAGTCTACCATGGTCGAGCCCTCGGGGAATTCAAGAACTACGCTATGAGACTGGAGTGTCATTTCAACAGATATCTAGATTGGTACAATACCGACGAGCGCAAAGTCACCCGGGCCCTAAAGCACGTTGCCCTTACTTTGGAAGATAAGTGGAAACGACAGATACGCGAAAGGCCCAGTGAACAAGTTACATTTGGTGGATTTTGCACTTTCCTTATTCACCAGCTCCAGAATGGAGTCTATCCGAAAGTGGCCAAAGCGCGCTACATAAATAGCTACCAGCGCCCATCCCAGTCCGTGACTGATTTTTCCAACTGGTTGCAGCAATGGGAACCGCATTTCGACAATGATTTCTCTGAGCGTGATCGTATGCGCCATCTCTTTGAGCATCTGTCGAATAGGGTCCGCGACGAGGCTGACAAGACCTACCTGGAATTCATCCATTATTACGATTTCGTAATCTACCTGCAAAGGGTCGAGGATTCTATTGATAAACGTGCCGGACCGCTAGACAAGAAGTTTAGCAACCCTAGGAAGCGACCTCGCACCCACAGCTGAAGCCAACCCGTCGACCTGGTAGCGATTCCGGCGACTTCTAATGGACTTTTGCAACACCTTCACTTGCAATGTACACACCAAAACTATGATACAACATCTCATCTCGATATTCTGTCAATCAATGCATTGCCTCAAATGGCTATGGTGATTGAGGGCTTTGTCAAAAGGAAAAGTCACGCTCCAATTCTGCGCAAATCCCCGAGAGCTGACACCTCCAGTCTACTTGGCCAGGAGGATTCGAACCGAATGAAACAGAAACACAGCCAGGAGCCTTATCTACTAGACATTGCTTTGTACGGAACGGAGACTGCAAACGGTGATGGCCAAGCTGAGGTAACCTCATCGAATCTTCTAATCTATGCACACACACACACATATCCCTCTCTCTCTCTTCCTTCCTTTCTTCATCCCATGGATCTCACCACATAGCCCATAATGATCAATTGCACAGCAGTAAGAGAGCAACTTTAACTAACAGCCACATCAGCTTTATGCTAGTAAACATACGTCTCAACGATAGTACAATATGAGGTCCCTGCGTTTTATCGAAGAGAGCAACGATACACTTATTCGCACTGCTTATCACATATCTATTGCCACCCATGACCTTCCAGGCCTGATTTTGACCGCGTTCAAAGAGCCAGTAAATAGTTACCTCAACTGTTGACGCTCGACCTCACCTGTTGCTCACCCTGAATTACTCAGTGATATGCGGAACTGAAGGACAGATGAAAACTTGAAACGAAATATTGCAGAAACCATCACATAATGGTAGTCTGCAAGTGTATTCTGGATACATTGGGTGCTAGTAGAGCTGGTTGAAATTCTACCGTGACGTTTTTTGCGACTGCATACCATTCGAGGCGTGGGAATGCGATAATTCGATTCCAAGTATTGCTATCAACTGATGTTGGAGTAGCAAATCTCGTGCCATATCACTCTAGCTACCTAAAGTGAATATCACTAGCTCTTACAGACCACCACCTACTTCTTCTTGGCGACGGCGCCAAAAACGTTTGGCGGGAGTTGCGGTCTTCTATCCTGCTCCGAATGGCCCTCCGGATGCAGGCGTCCCTTGCGGCATCCAGAGATCTACTCAGACTGCCACCTTTCTGTCAGCGATCACATAACAATTCATTAACAATTGAAAGATGCCCACTCTTGGCTGCCAATATCAAAGGGTCCTCGAGCCACTGATTCGTGAGGTTGACATCAATCTGGTCATGACGAAGCAGAACCCGGACCATCTCCAAATCCCAATCACGGACGGCAATGCAAAGTGCGGTGTCGTAACTAGCGATAGTTCCTTCATTGATCTTCAGACGTGCGCCTTGTTGCACTAAGAGTCCGACCACATCAAGGTGGCCTCGTGCGGCCGCTCGACAAATGGGTGGATCTGCCAATCCCCGTCCATTAATGTCCACCTCCTCCACTTTCAACAGCATCGCCACCGTGTTGACACGTCCGTGTGCAGCAGCGGCGGAAAGCAGGGGCTGGCCTGCAACGCAAATATTCACATCAATTCCTGGTGTCGCAAGAAGTCGCCGTGGGGTAACAGTGTCCAGTCTGGTTACGGCGTGGTGCAATGATGTGGATGGTCTCGAGTGTCTCCCGCGGCCCCCGACGAAATTGATATCGATGTCTTTCTCGGCTGAGAGCCTCTCTCTTATCTCATCGCAAGATGAGTAAGTAGACGGCCAAAGCGGCGTGTTACCGTCTGAGAACATCATCCCAACACTCTTAACGGTAGCTGCAGAGGAAGCAGAACCCTTTGAGCCAAAGAACCTGCATCAAGCGAAGAACGACACAAGCTGGCTCGAATGGAAAAGGGCAATGCTTGAAGAAGTGAACTCACTCAAGCAAAACAAAACGTGGGAGCTTGTTGATCCCCCCAAAGACCGGCGAGTTCTCAGTGGAAAATGGGTCTTCAAACTCAAACGAGGACCTCACGGCGAAGTACTCCGCCATAAGAGCAGATGGGTGGTGAGAGGCTTCACACAAGAAGACGGTATTGACTATGATGAAACCTTTGCCTCGGTTGTCAAGCCAATGAGCTATAAAGCCCTCTTCGCAATCGGAGCCTGGACTTCGAGATCGAGCAAATGGATGTCAAAACCGCATTCTTGTACGGACATATAGACCACGAGATCTACGTCGAACAGCCCCATCACATGACGGATGGCACCCCAAGGGTCTGCAAGCTTCGAAAAGCCCTCTATGGATTAAAGCAGGCTCCTCGCATCTGGTACCAGACCCTCACGAACTTCCTGCGCAATCTTGGCTTCGAGCCAATCACCGCCGATCTTGGTATCTTCGTTCGGAGCAATATGTACATCGCGGTGTATGTTGATGATCTCCTGATCGTGGGTCCGAGTATCGCAGAGATCAAGAAGATCAAGCGGAGCCTAAGGAACCGTTTTCAGATGACAGATCTGGGCCCATGCAGCTACTACCTTGGGATATCCATCCAGCGAGACCGCCAAAACAGGAAACTGTCCCTCAGTCAAGAAGCATACATTGACAAGGTTGCTCATCAATTTGATATTGGCAACTGCGCTCCCATCGGCACGCCGATAGAAACCTCACCGCTTCCAGAGAACAGTCCAGACTACACGTGCCCTCCAGATCAGAGGACCTCTGACCAACGCATGGTCGGATCTCTGATGTACATTATGCTTGGAACCAGGGGGGACATCGCGTACGCAGTCTCTGTGGCGAGTAGGTCTCTGGCAAATCCTGGGCCCCAACACATAAAACTCGCTCAACGCATCCTACGGTACCTCAAAGGAACCAAGAGCCTCAGACTCGCGTACAAGGGTCAGCCTCAGAAACTGAAAGGCTTCACAGATGCAGATTGGGGAGAATGTCGTGACACGAGACGATCAACAGCTGGGTATCTCTTCAATATTGGAAGTGGGGCCATCAGTTGGCAATCGAAACGCCAGGGCGTCGTTGCTCTCTCAACGTGCGAAGCCGAATTTCTGGGGCAGACACAAGCCACCAAAGAGGCAGTCTGGTTGAGAAGGCTTCTCAACGAATTGAATATGAATCAAGGATTAAACGCCACGATCATCTGCGGGGATAACCAAGGGGCCATTGCTCTCTCCTCGAACCCACAATACCACTCTCGCACAAAACATATGGAAATCCAACGCAAGTGGCAGGGAGAGGTCCAAGGCAACGGAACAGTGAAGCTCAAATATATCCCAACCACAGAACAAATTGCTGATGGGTTCACCAAACCCCTTGCTTGGGAAAGATTTGAGTGGTTTCGGAAAGAACTTGGCGTTGAGTGATTGCTACACCTTATTTGTATTGAACAAGACTAAGGCGCAGGGTACCCTTTCCTTCCTTTCTTCTCAAATGAAGTTTTTGAAGGTTTTAATGGGACCCGTCACAACCGCGATCACATAGTCACTGACACCATTTGTGATGGTGGCCATCGAGTGGGAGTGTTGAGTATCGCGGTGGTCAAAGCTTATGGCAGGACTAGCGATGGACATTTAAATAGACGGGGTTCCCACTTTTGATAGTAACCTCAACAAGAACACTACAACTACCTATCTCAACAGGTGAGGTTGCTATCAGAAGTGGGAATTCCATCTATTTAAACGTCCATTGCTAGTCCCGCCATAAGCTTTGACCATCGCGATACTAAACATTCATATTCGCAAATATTCATGAATATTCATGAATAATCATATTTCTTTCGGATCCCTATATACAAGTCAGTGTAGTATGTGATAAGATACGTCAAGTATCCTTGGAGAAACGTGATATCTTAGGATGGATTAGTTCTGAACGTTTGCTTTCTTGGCCACCGTGACATGCGTTACGAATGGCATGCCTTTGGACTCTCGTATTGCGGAAATTTCGACAACACAGCCTGTGCAGGATTGCAATGCAACGGAAAAGACGCTTGCTCCTAGAATACTGCCGAAAATTACCGCAAGGCTTTGCCTTGAGGGCGATATCCCGCTCCCATCCAATGAAGCACCATTGGAGGGACTCGAGGAAACAGAATCTGCTGCTGTTGAAGATGAAAGGGGCCTGATGATAACAAGTGTCGTAGGTGATTGCAGGGCATAGGCGCCCTGCGTTGTTTCCCCTTGTGGGGCAGTCTGACCTTCCATCTGCGTATGTGAGAAATGGCCAGGTTGCACGCCGTCCTCGTCAGACGTCCGGACTAGAAAAGCCTGAGAAACTCCTGTTATCTCCAAATAGCCATTACTGCCGTCACTCGGAGAGTTATTGCTTCCTGTAGTTACCGATGGAAGACGCTCGATACCAAGGTTGACTTGTTTAGAAGTGATTGTTAAAGCAACAAGATTATCGTGTAGGGGGTCTAGAGATTTCTGATTGCTGGTGGAGCTTGGATACATATTGACCGTTATTAGGTTTTGAGTTGGAGAATCGGGAGAAAGCGTCGCGCGAGAGGATTTAGATCTGAATAAGTTGTCTCAGGAGGCTGGGTTTGAGTGTCATTGAACTCTGTTGCACTTGGCAGACTTTCCGGAGATGCTGTCGGCTGAGTTATGTTGGTCTCATTACCCAAAGGACTGACCGAAGGCGTTCCTCCAGTTTCACCCGTGTTCGTGGATATCTTGGTTTGCATCAGCCGCCGTTCCGAGGGAAGACTTTCGGAGCAAGTCGTATGAGCTGCAACGACAAGAGTTACCTGATCGGATATAAGTCTGGAGCTTGGAAGATGAGTGTACGAGAGCTGTGGGAAGTTTGACTGCGGTGGTATAGAGAAGCCGTCTTTCCCGATAACGCCATAATTTAACCCCTGTGGTGTTTTAATTCACCGCGAATAACCCCCGCGTGTTAAATACACTCTCCCGCTGTAGATAGCACCCCATAGACCTCGCCAAAACCCGCCCACAACCCAAACCCGCCCACGAAAACCCGCCCCACGGGACGGGTCGGGTCTTAGTCAGCAGACCCGTGGGCGGGTCTTCATTTTGAGAACCCGACCCGCGACCCAAATGGGTACCCATATAACCCGCGATAGCCAAAAAAGAGTGATTTGTCAGCTAGCATAAAATAATGCCGTATCTTTGATTTATACTAAGGTATGGCTCTGGTATAAGTATGGTCTAAACTCTTGGAGTACATAAATTTGAGGAATAAAACAGATTAAGCTTAATTCATAGACTAATACAGCTCGTAACCCTGCAGCCGGCTTGAAGGTACTGTTACCCTACCGGATGATCTCTTGTGGGACCTACCGCCGAGGCGTGTGACTGGAGGTGGGAGCAAATCTCCATCGTCGTCCTCATCTTCGGCCACTTCAGCCATCGCCGCATCTTGCACTTGATCATGGGCTGGAGGTTCTTCTGAGGCTGTGCTTTCTACTCCACTTACCCCTTCGACGGCGAGACCTGTTTCGGAATCCTCAATTGGATCGTTCTCCTCGACATCGCTGATAGGAGCAATATCGTCTTCAGTCTCCTTTAACGCCTCATCTTCTTCGAGGGCTTCCTGGCCCTCCCTCTCAACTGCTGGACTTTCCAGAAGACTCAATTGCCGGCTCTCCAAAGTGAATCTTTCCGAGCACATATACATCATCAAGTCTTGAATGGTTGCCTCGTTGAGGGATCCGCGGCGGTAATGGCAGATATCCCGTGCGCTGTTGAATAGCCTTTCCACTCCTGCGCCCGTAGCAGGGACCGAGAGCAAATCGCGAGCCAGTCGCGACAGGACTGGAAATTTACGCTCGTTCTCCTTCCAATATGCGCGGGGCGGAATTGAGACAGTTGCTACGAGGAATTAGTCTGTCATCAAGCTTCAGCGGCCCGATAATACTTACCCTCGCGAAGATATCGATCGACCTCGTCATGCTCGAACCCTTCGTTGACTTGTGCGTCTTGTGACGGCCCAAGAAGCCGATCTAACTCCGAGGCTTGCAAGGAAGGGCGATGCACGGTACGGAAGAGCATCTCAGGATTCCGTTGCTGATATTGCGAGAAACATGTCCTGAGGTATTCACAGTATTTTTTGGAAGTTTCACTGTGGCACTGCGAGTACTCTGCGTCGTCAAAAGCGCAAAGCTTGTATTGGGGAGCAAGTAGGGTCCCCGTGCCATAGAGGAAGCCGTGATCACGATACGTCTTTTCGTAGTATTCTCTCAGCTTCTGCTTCGCGACAAGCAGCGCTCCATACATGTCCTTTTTCCAGGGGGTCGTCTTTTTTCTCAATTTTCGATTTGAGCGTTCAATGTGTTCCAGTAGCTTCCTGTACACGAGGAAGACGCTGTGAATTGTCACGTCTTTTGTCTTCATCAGGGCCATGGTGAACTGAAAGAACGGCTTCGTCAAGTGAACAAGATAGTCAATTTGCCGCCATTCAATGTCAGTGATTTTAAATTGTGAATAGTCATGGTCTCGGCAGTATTTGTCGATGGTATTCCTTAGTCGGCGCGCTCGTCGAAGCATCAAGAAGGTGGAATTCCAGCGGGTCTGAACATCATGCAACGGGAAAAGTCGCATTCCACCAGATTGGAGGCACAGGAATGCATCTCGCCGCTGGGGGCTGGCGTTGACAAAAACTGCAAGGGACCGAATCTGTGGAAGAGACACCGTCAGCAATGTCCAAATATGACTGGTCCGAAATCAACGGACTCGCCTTTGCTAGAGTATGCGCCACCTCGCCATGGTCCACTGAGTCCCTGAGACAAAGAGCTTGTGAATCGGACCAAAAACTTCTCACTTCTTTATTCTTGGGAGCAGCTCTGATATGCCCCAACAGCTGCTTGAGGCAAAGCTGAATCACATGGGCCATGCATGGAACACGGACAATGGATTCTCTCGAGCCGATGGCGCCACTAGAAATGAGTGATTCTTGCAGCGCTCGGATGAGGGTTTCATTATTTGTTGCATTATCCGTGGTAACGCTGAAGATACGATCCAATAGCTGTCTTTCTCTGAGCAGCTGGAGGAGCACGTCGCTCAAATTGACTCCCGTGTGAGGTCCATGCAAAGGCTCAAACCCAAGAAGCAGCTCGCGGTAGTTCCAATCTCTATCGATGAAGTAGACTGTAATTGCCATGAATGCTTGCTGGAAGGGACTAGTCCAACAATCTAATGCAAGTGAAACTTTGGCGTCTTCGGGTAGATCTCGCAACTGTGATTCCTGTTGTCCTCTTACAGCGTCACGCAGGCGTCGCCGCAAGGTTTTTGCTGAAGGCATTTCCAGCTCTCCCGGTCCGAGGTGGGTGAACTTGAGGAGTGCTTGAAATTCAGGGTTTTCAACGGTCTGGAAGGGCAGACGAAGACAAGCAATGGTCCTCAGCAGCCGCTCCTCGAACTGCGATGTGGTGAACTTGTTCGGACCGGATGGTACTCCCAAGAAGGCTTTCTGGATTGAGTTTGACACGAGAGCTTGATGGCATGTTCTTTTCTGGCCCTTTCGACAGGACTTGGATCTCTGGTGCTTTCCCATTGCGCTTGTGCCGTGCTTTTTGTGCTGTGGATGATCAAGTAGGGTCAAGCAAGCCCTACAGATCACTTTGGGAATGCCAGTTTCAATGCCCGCAACTTGGTCGAAATGCTTCCAAACTTCAGCGTAATGTGACTCCATCGACCACTTTATTTTAGACCGTCCGTCGCCATTCAGCACTTGACCATATTCTGTTTTTTGCCACCAAGTCAAAAAACTGCTGGAATGTTCAGGCTCGTACAATATCCAGTTCTTTCTGCGGTCCGGTCCGACGCGTCGAAGTATCGTTGGAGGTTGTTGAGCGGGAGTATCGACGCTACGTCGGGAGCCAGTGAAAGGCTAACTGGTTAGTATGTGCTTGCGTCTCTGAGTTGTTGAATTAATCTGCGATTTTGAGAGTATCGTACCGAGGACTGGAAGTCCGAGTCCATGGAAACATCCGATGATGGCTCAATGGAGAGCAAGGGGCTCAAAGACCGATGAATTGACCGCGAGGACATGGCTTTTGGAGATTCGATGTTCACAGCTCAACCTCGTTGGAGTTCCAAGAATTGGAATTTTCGTGGGATCAGAGTGATTTTTTTTCCAACGCGTCGCGGTGGTTTTTCGTATGAGATAGTGGGTCGCGTCAACCCGCGGGTACCCTAAACCCACGGGTACCCAAAACCCGTGCGACAGTAAAACGATGGCGAGGATGCTTCTTCACTGGCTGGTCAATCATTTTTCTGGATATTATAGTTTAAAAGTGTCCTCGAGAGGCTTGATATCAATAAGGGTCGATGGATGTTCTTAGTGCCAACGCTGGGATGCAAGAGTGTTCGGAGAGCGCGCTCTGGCTGGACAATTGCCTGTACATATATATATTATATATTATTGAGGTGGTGAGGCATTTCATGAGACGGTATCTCCCATATAAAGTTGTGACAAAATTAAATTACCAATATTACCACTACTGACTAATACACTTTTGTTCACTTATTATGCATTTTGGTGGGTTATATGGGTAACCCACGGGTACCCGCCAAGAACCCACGGGCGGGTTCATGAAGGCCAAAACCCGCGCGGGTTACCCGTGGGCGGGTAGGAGAAAGCGACAACCCGCCCCAAACCCGCGTTTGGCGAGGTCTAGCACCCCAATTATCACCAAGAAGCGTTTGGTTTCAAATTTCGCGCATCTTTTGTAGAACAACCATCATGTCAAATCAAATTTTACTATACAGTAAGCAAGGAGCGCTTCGGGTGTTTGGATCCGTCAGCTAGATGCATGCAGCCCAAGAGGGAGTAGTTTTATTGGGGTTGCCTCACAATGCCCATAGCCTCACGTGATATCTACACCGACATTAGTGAGGGCCTCTTCCTCCTACAACTGCCTCACGAGAGTCAGTTGCTTGCCTCTGCGGGTAGCTCGTCATCTCTCACGCAGTCAAGTCTTGAGTTTGTTTCACGTCCTTCTTCAGGACAACAGCACCGATAGGCCTTGACTATATCGCTCTCCACCATGACGTTCAGCCAGCCTAGCAGTGCCACTCCTGCCCCGCTCGACTCCGCTTGGCCGCCGGCCCACATTTGGGAAACCATGGGTACGGCAGACCGTGCCAGCTGGTTAGGACAGATACAGAGAGACCGGGCTAGGCGCCTTGAAATGGATGTAGCGGAGACCGACCTCCGCCGCAGAAGGCCTCGTGTGGACCTTCAAGATGACGATAATCCCGAAGAAAACCGTGAGCCACTCCCCGAAGTCAAACCACTCATCGACATATTTCCGGGTGTCTCCGCCGCCCTTCTTACTCGCGTCTTTGAGAAGAAGTTGAAGGCGACTGAACTCATACGCTTCAAAGAGAAGTCAGTCACCGAGCTAGATCAGGAGGACAGAGTCTTCGAGATGACCGAGTTGGGAGGCACAGTAGGCTTCAAGAAGGCAGCAGCGTCGCTTAAGGACTGG